TAGCCAGGATGGTCTCGATCTCCTGACCTCGTGATCCGCCCGTCTCGGCCTCCCAAAGTGCTGGGATTACAGGCTTGAGCCACCGCGCCCGGCGACAGTTGGTTTTTCAAATGCATCACTCATATGTCTCTGGATTTAGGCCTGTTGGAGGTCCATTCTTGCAGAAGGCAGTTCTCTACAGACTCATTGATTAATTGATTCATTACAATAGAGTTAGCAAAACTTTAGTGTTTCTCTTGTGGGCCATACACTGCCCTTGCTGGTGAAGCAGCAGCAAACACTGAGTCTTCAGTGATTCCTTGGTTAAGGATTGCTCTGTGGGTCGGACTCTTGGGGATCCAAGACAGAGAAGGCACAAGTTCTACCCTCCAAGAACTTACGACTGTGACAAATCCATAAACTCTTCTCTCTTCTTTCTGCAGCTCAGTAAACGCTCTGCCACTGACCTGTGCGGCAGGAATGATGGAAACCTTAAGGTGATCTTCCCTGATGCAGAGATGGAGGATGTCAATAACCCTGGGCTCAGGGTCAGAGCCCAGCCTGGGGACTATGTGCTGGTGAAGGTGAGGAGTCCTTTTGGGCTGTCGGCTTGTACTGTGAAATGAGTGTTGGTTTGGATAATTTGTGGTAATAAAGTTTTGTCCTAGAGACACATTTTAGTAAAATAAAAATCTCCTCTCAACCAGTACAATGGAAGGGCACTTTGGATTGTATTTTAGACTGCTCCTTACTAATGCTTTCTTGTTCTTCTTACCTTTTCTCCTGCCCTGCCCTGGAAGGGTTCTTTGTGGGAATTCGGTGAGTCTGGGGTAAGCAGTGGCATGTAGTTTCTTGCTGCAGAGAGGCCAGGAGGTGTAAGTGATTTCCAGTGAGTAGAGAGTGTTCCCTGACGGAGATCGACGTGTTCTTTGTGATCTCTGACGGATCAGGCCTCTCTAACGTACATGTGCTCAAGTTTCTTGGGTCTCTTCCCTGGACTTGTAGATCAGCTATATGGCTGTGGGATTTTCCCTCTCTTTCTTTCTCTCTTTCACTGGCGATATGCTTCTTTTATTCTCTCCTTCCATTTCTTCCTTTCTTCTGCCTTCTCTTCTCACACTGCCCAGTTTTGCTACTGCCACCTTCCCTGTCTTGTTCTCATGTCCACTTCGCCTCAGAACCAGAAGCTGGCAGGACACGGACTAATGGGTTAGGCAGGACACAGACTGATGCCCTAGAGCATCCACAGAAGTTCCTTTAAGGGCAGGGAAAATGCCTGTTTTGTTTCTGTTTATTTATCTTTATCTTCTAGCACCTAGGGCAATTCTGGGTACAAAATATGTACTTAGTAAGTATTTACTAATGGACTGACTTGTTCTTATGGTAAGAAATGTGACCACAGATAACTTTGGGTCACATTCTTTCAGCTCTCGGTTGGAGGAGAGAGAACATTTCTCACCAATTGTTGGCTGTAAATATCCTAAGGAAGGATTTGACTGGCTCAGCCTTGGAGTTAGGAGGACAGGGTCTGTGATGGGCAGTTTCACCTGAATTTTATGGTTAGAGTTGAGGAGGAGCCATCTTCCAAGAGAAAAGGGAGACATGTCTGGGTCTGACCTGCTTTGACTTCTTAAATTATATATATTGCCATTCCATGAGGCCTCTCTTCCTGCCAGGATCAGGGGCACACAGGAGCCATGTGGTCTGTGCCAGCCAGTCGCCTCCATCAGATTCCTTTTAGGGGCTTCTCCTCTAGAGGCTCCATGTGAAGTCCCAGTGGTACAGTCCTAGTTACCTTGCCGCCTTCTTCTGCCTGGTTTTCTTTCAGATCACCTCGGCCAGCTCTCAGACACTTAGGGGACATGTTCTCTGCAGGACCACCCTGAAGGACTCCTCTGAAAATTGCTGACCTGAGAGGATGGCCTCAGAGCTGACTTGGGCAGTCCTCCCCAACAGGAAGGGGAGACATTGCCAGTCGCTGAGGAAAGAGGTCATGAAGCTGTGGAGATAAGCTGCAAGGGGTGAAGCAACTTTATGTCAGTGGAAAACGTGTCTCTTTAAAGCTGCTATGTGAACAGCTTTTATAGTCATTAAATTTACCTAAACTAAAGTTAACCCTTTGTCTCTCAATTTTACTTCATTTTTACCTTGGTTAGTGTTTCTGGAGTTTTCCCTGCAGTCTGTGTTAAGTGTTTTCCAACCCAGTTTCTCCTGTGGACGCTGCTACGTCTCTGGTTTTCTCCCCTGGGCCTAGGAGGTAGAGACTGAAGGAGAGGAAGGTGGGGAGAACCATTTGCTTGGGAAAACTGCTCTCGACCCTCCTGACATTTGCATTGGATGCCACTAACTTAGCTGCCTATCGCTGCACTTTATTTTATGTGTTTTACCTGAGGATTTCCCTCATGGTCCTCTTTTTTTCTGACACCAAAGTTGACTTTTAAATTGTTCTAAAGCCACTGAAGCAAAAAACTTGATAAAACACTCTGCTTTCCTTTACAACCCCCACAACAAAAAAAATTATTTGTTGGAAAAACATGGTTTTTTTACTTGAGATGAAACAATATCGTCTGGGCATGGTGGCTCACACCTATAATCCCAGCACTTTGGGGGGCTGGGGTGGGCTGATCACTTGAGCTCAGGAGTTTAAGACCAGCCTGGCCAACGTGGTGAAACCCTGACTCTGCTAAAAAAAACTCCAAAAGTTAGCTGGGCGTGGTGACAGGCGCCTGTAGTCCTAGCTTCTCAGGAGGGTAAGGCAGGAGAATCACTGAACCTGGGAGGTGGAGGCTGCAGTGAGCCGACATCATGCCACTGCCCTCCAGCCTGGGGGAAG